CTTTTCTTCCTATTACCCTATGTTAGTTAATTTTAGCTTAAATAACAGTATATTTTTAAAATAGCATTGACCAGCAGATGGCGGTATAATAACACAATTTGATTTTAGAGTCTGCCATTTTTTTACGTGTAAATAAGCCTAAGTATGGATCCTAGTGATCTACTGTATCTCCATTTCTGGGATAAATGGGGGGATGGGGGGTGGGGGGAAGAAGGTATTAACAGATGGTCCAATCATTGTTTTATTTCGACTGGCTGCTTGCTTACATTTGATACATATAATTTTTATGACTAAATTATTCTCAAGCTCCTCCACTGGTTTTTACTGCTTTGTTGGTTTTCATTGATGTATTTGATTTCCATTAATTTCTTATTAGTAAGAAATTTCCTCTTGACTAAAAATAAAAGCAGAAAACTTATTTTGATTCACTGCCATGATTTGGGGGAAATTCTGAGATTATTTTTTTTTTAGATCTTTTTAATAAGAGAGTTTCTGATCACTTAAATCCCACCTCTCTCTGGTGGGGCTGGATGGACCGCATAAAAACAAAACAAAACAAAAGAAAAAACAAAACAAAATTTACTGCTATTCAGTCAATTCTGATTCTTGACAACTTTCCATTTCATTTTCAAGGCTATCAATCTTAAAATTATTAAACTTTCTTTTTCCCATGAAGCAGCTGGTGGATTCAAACTGCCAATCTTTCAGTTAGCTGTCCAACCCCTCCTTATTCCATATGCAGATATGTGCAATTCCACTAGTAATGCAGTGCTAAAAGAGGCAGGAAAGGCTAAAAGTAATTAAGCCACACCTCACCAATGATACTCCCCAGTGCATCTGTTATTTTCAGACAGTTATTTCAAAACATTTTACCGCTGTGTGAACTTGAGAATAGGAATAAATATTTACATTTATCATTTATATATCCAACATCTGGAATAGGGCACTCATTACACAGAAAATAGTTTAAGGAAATGTTTACTAGGCCACCAGAGCCTTATTCGATGAAAGAAAGAGTAAATGATTATATTAGTGACTTCATAGAGTGTCCTGAGTTAGTGATGTGTAGAACTTTTTGTCATTGTGGAACTCATTGGTAGTTTATGCTGTTCTATGGAGTAGCTTCTAGCTACATCTGAGTATGTTTGAAATGTGACTAGAATGACTGAAAAAATGAATTTTTAGAATTAACTGATTCAAATTTAATACTTTTATCAGGCTGTTGTTGTTGTGTACTATAGAATTGGAAGAGACACATAACTGACTTTTTGGCAGGTTCTCAGAGGCAGTTAATTGCACAAGAGAAGATTGCCCATCCTTCTCCCTTGGAGCAGGTGTGGGCCTCTAATCAGGTATCTTTGGGATTAGAATGCACCTTCTTGCCTCTAGGCCACCAGAGTTCCCTTTTATCAGGTTAATGACTACCAACTGAACAATGTGATTTTT